TGGGTTCCCACTCTGACTCCTCAGGTGCTGTGTGACTAGCAGGCTCTGTCTTCTCTCTGTGCCTCTGTTTCCCTGTGTGTAAAATGGAAGTGATGGGCCCTAGCTGGTTTGGGTCAGTAGGTAGAGCATTGGCCTATGGACTGGAGGGTCCTGGGTTTGATTTCGGTCAAGGGCACATGCCTGTATTGCCGGCTCAACCCCCAGTAGTGGTCATGCGGGAGGCAGCTGATCAATGGTTCTCTTTCATCATTGATATTTCTCTCCCTTCCTCTCTGAAATCCATAAAAGTATATTAAAAACCAACAAACAAATAAATAAAGCGGAAGTGATGGCAGAGACAGCATCTCCTAGGCGGGCTGCATCCGAGTGCTGGGGTAGGGGCCAGCGTGTCCAGTGGTGTCAGCTGAGTGTGTAGAAGCCTTCTGGACCCCTCCTCCCTGTGGGCTAGCCGTCTGCCCCCAACCTGAGACTAAAGTTCATGACTAGACACCAGAGACAGAGGAAGCTCAGTTCCTGTCCCTGTGTTTGGGTCCTGGAGGGAGGAGCAGTGCACAGCACAGCCCCAGCGACGGAGGCAGGTCCTTCTCCCTGCTTCTCCAGCTTGTCCGAGAAAGTCCCACCAATGTGTTCCTGCTTTGTTTTCTGTCCCTAGGCCTGCCCCATTGGGGGAAGAATTAAAAATGCCCCTTGTTGTGTGCCCCCCCCCCCCCACTCCCTCCTTTCACTTAAAGGAAACACTTTATGGCTTATTTTCGTCAGACCTGAATTGCCAGCATCACTACTCTTGTGTTTTGGGGACATTATTGAGTAAAATCAAATTGACTTGAGCATAAGTACTGCAATACAGCGACAATTGGTCTGATCACCGAAACGGCTACTACGTGACTAATGGGCAGGAAGTGTTTATAGCATGGCAATACTAGGCAAAGGGATGATTCACGCTGCTCAAAAAAGTGCACAATTTAAAACTTAAGAATTGTTTATTTCTGGAAATTTTCATTTAATATTTTCAGACTGCAGTTGACCAGGGGTAACTGAAACTGTGGAAAGCGAAAAGGTAGCTATGTATCTTCTTGTTCTTTTTTCCTAGTTATTTTCTGTTTCAGTAAAAGTGGTCCCCACACCCATCGAAAGCGATTTTCTCCCTTTGGGATGCCCGTCCTGTGCGATGAGCTGGCCTGTCTGCGGCTCATCCGGGGGCCGGTGGATGTGTTGTGCCAGGTGCTGTGCCGGTGCTCGAGGTCAGGCTGCACATGGATAGGCACTGCTGCTCTAGGTTTGCCAGCAGGCCTCTGCCCCAGCACCTGCACTCGCTCACAGCAGACTTGGAGGAGAAGAGGAGAACTGGAGTCTGCCTTCAGGCTACCAGTTAGGTGGGACGGGGTTGGGAACCTGTTAGCCTGGTGTGGTGACGCCAGTCCTGTGGGAACCTGCAGGAACAGCTGGCAGGAAGGGTGTCGGAGAGAGCTCTGGGGGCGGCAGTGAGGTCTAGCCAGTCTCCAAGGAAGTAGAGGGCTCCGGCGGACAGGGCTCTCCAGCTGGAGACCCTGCGTGCAGAGGTCCGGAAATGCGGGCTCAGGGGCTGCAGGTACCAGGCAGTCTTAGAAGGGGATAGAGGGTAGTCAGCAGGGATGAGGCCAAAGAATTAGGCTGTGGGGGTGCGATGAAGAGTGCTTGGAGGTTACCTATGACCATCAGGGCTACACAGTGCCATCTACCTGCCATCTCTACTCATCTACCTACCTGTCATCTCTCCCTGCCACCTACATACCTACCCACTACCTGTCATCCCTAACTCCTACCTACCTACCTACCTACCTACTTACCATCTCTACCTACGTATCCTATCTGTCATTTCTACCTACCGTCTACTTACCTACCTGCCATCTTGATTTACACCCACCTATCTCCTACCTACCTCTTACCTACCTGTCATCTCTACCTACCATCTTCCCACTCACCCACCCACCCATCTTCCATGTATATGTCTTTTTGTGGGGAGATGGGCTCCTGTTTGGGTTTGAGAGGATGGGGTGGTTTGCTGCTGACAGGGGATCTGGGCCAGAGGTGCTAAGAGGCAATCTTGGCCCTGCTTATGGGTGGGGATGGGCCAGGTATTCAAGGGTGGGCTCTGACCTGAGCACTAGGGTCGGCAGTGGCCCTCTGGGGCACAGTGAGGGTCTGGTATGGTTCTGACCTTTGTCTGGAGCTGCCTGTCACTGAATGAAGGGAGTGAAAGTGGGGCACATCTCACGCATGAGCAGGAGGCCCAGGGGCCTGGAGTCAGGAAAGATATATGTGTGGCAGGGAGCACTCTCCCATGACACAAGCCCATCAAGACATGGGGTTGCTCTCACCTATTCTGTGATCTTTCTGGCTTCTCCCTCACAGACCAGGGACCCTGTCTACTGAGGGTGGAGAAAAGTGGGGGCCTGTGAGAGATCCAAGGTCTTAGTAGGGACCGAGTTCCACAGCCCAGAGGGTGGGGACGCACCAGGCTCTCGGTACTCGAGTGCTGACTCGGTGAAAGTCCGCTGCTCCATGTTAACAGTTATTTTTGCCTCTCTTTCGTGTCCTCTCTTACAGCCCCCACCTTCTGGTCCTTTCACCTCGTCCTTTGGAGGGGCAGGATTCTCCGATGACCCCTTTAAAAGTAAACAGGACACTCCCGCTCTGCCTCCGAAGAAACCTGCTCCTCCACGGCCTAAACCGCCCAGCGGTCAGTACGCTTTCTTCTCTCTCCGCCGCCCACCCGCCCCTGTCACAGGACGGGGTGGGACTGAGGGCCCCTTCGCTCACCAGCCCAGGAGAGAGCTTTGCTGTGAGGTCTGCACGGGGAACAAGAGGGCCTGCCCTCTGCCCAGTTGCCTCGGTCCACTCACGTCCACTCGGTCCCCGCTGTGTGCCTGGAGCACCCCTGCCCTGTCCCATTCCAGGCTGAGATGGTCTCCCAAAGGCCCAGGGCTCAGGGCCCTCCTCTGTCAAGGAGAGATGCCACACAGCCCCTGTCTGACATGTGGCCAGGGCTTTGCAGACCCTCTAGTCTCCCCCCTCCACCAAGCTTTTCTCAGGGTGGCCCAGGGGTGGGGACAGCAGCTGAGTCTGCCCCCTCGATCCAGTATCTCCAGATGGGTTAAGGGCTTGGGGTGGGGTATCAGGGGTGGGAGTCTTCCTTGGCTGAGTTTGACATCTCAGTAGATGACTCCCAGCAAGGGGTTGCCTGGCTGTGGCTGGCACTGCAATTTCACTCAGCTTTGGCCCTGGCGCCCTCCGAGGATTCTGGGGACTTTTAAGTCATGTGTGGGGTCTTTATGTGATAGTGATAGGCCCACAGGCCAGGTACCAGACTTGAAAGCAGTAGAGGGGCTCACTGCCATTTCCCATTTTCTTTACCCATTTTACTTTCTGTGTTCTTGGCACCCTGGCCAGCACGTATCTTTCATTCTGTGGTCTCCAGGCAAACTCCCACCCACTAGACACTTAATGTGTCTCTAGGCTTGATGCTCCCTCAGTTCTGCCTTCTGTTCCTTCTCCTTCCTTTCAGTCTGCCCCAAGGGCTCCACTTTGTGTCATCACTGCAGCCCTTGAGTCTGAGGTTAGAAACGGTCATTGGGCCAAGGCAGGCCAGTCTTCCTATATGAGATACATAGTAGAGACAAACAGAGGACGAGTTACTTAAAATTGCTGCTATGCCCCTCCTGTCACCAGGGCCAGGGCTTTTCCGGAGGATGGGCGCCTTGTGTGCAGATGAGACATGAGAGCAAGTCTGACCATGGGTTGGGCGGATTTATAACAGATCTGCTGTGACTTGTGAGCAGAAACAGATGCAAAAAGAGATCACTTCTATCAGCCACAGCCACACATCAAAGCATTTACGATAAACTGGGGAGAAACGCAAAAACAGCAGAGGAATTCCCTTCCACTATGAGAGGCTGCGTGTACCTTAGACAGAGGCAGGGCTCTTAGGGGACCCTTGATGTCTCCTGATGGAATAGCATGGAGTCTCCTCAGCCCACCGGAAAGATGAAAGCTGGAGTGTGAACGCACACATGCGCATGCACGCACATACTTGTTCGTGTGTGTGCATGTGTTCACACATGCACATATTCAAATGCATCCGTCCTCGCACACACACTTTCTCACAGTGCTTGCATGCACCTGCTTTCGTACTGCAGAGGTGCGCACGCTCTGGTGTGCATGCATGTGTGCACGCATGTGCTCTCACCACAGGGCAGTGCCGCAGTTGGGCCTCGAGGAGGAGCTGCTCCCCTCACCTGCTGGGAAGAGCAGAGCTGCATTCTCAAGGTTCCCTGGAGAGTCTCACCCAGCCTCCTCCCCTTCCCTGAAGCAGTGCTAGCTCTGCTTTGTGTCCCACACTGTCTCCTCCCTCAGGTTTCTGTCTTCGAGCCTGCCCACCCCATTTTGGCTTCTTTTTTTTTTTTTTTTTTTTCAGTGACTTCCTTAGAGCCGGTTTCAGAGCTCGGGCTTTTTAGAGAGCTGTCCACACCTTGGGAGGTTTGGACCTGTATCATGGGGTCTTAGTCTGCCTTTGCTCATGGCTTTGGGCTGTCACACCCGTGCTCTGCCTTGGCCTGTAAGGTGCCCCAGATATCCTGTTCACATCAGCAGACCTTTAGGAAGCGCTGTTGCTTCTCCAGACTTAGGAAGACCTGTAAGCAAGTCAGGCCAGGCATTGTGATGCCCTTTGGTTACCATGAGAGGAAAGGGAAGTGAGAGAGGACACATCGAGGTGGCAGCAGGACTGACTGCATTCGGTGACCTGCCCCCACCCAGGCCTCCCACCTCCAAAGACAGCTGTAATGAGAACCATACTGTGAGGTCCGGAATGCTCTGGAAAACTGTCAACACATGCAGTATTTAATCTCTGACCAACCATGACGTATCCTGGTAGATGCCTAAATGTCTCGTCTGATTCTCTTACTTAGAAGCGATGGCTGAACAGAAAAGCTGTGCACTGTATTCGCTACTGGGTGGTAGGTACATACTGTGTGGTGGTTGTCATTTGAGCCTTCCAGTGGCCTTTTGCTGTGATTTCATACTAACCTCTAGCACTAGCCATGGAAACTGCAAGCTGTGTGATGCTGTCATACTGGACATGGACCCAGCAGTTGAATTTTTCACGAGTTGCATTTGGGGGCAAGCATCTGGCAATTTGGGGATGCAGAGGAAGGTGTCTGCCCCACGCTGCTGCTTTTGTGGAGTGATTTAAGACCCAACTGTGCGCAGTGCCTCCCCTCTTGCTGTGCACGCTGCATGGAGCATGGCGCATAAACCACGAGCAGCCTGGGCGGTACCTGGTTATTAGCAGGGCAGGTCGGCAGATGAGTGAAGGGGGAAGCCCTGCTCAAAGCATTCATTAAAACACCAGCACGCCTCTTGTTCTCTTGGCTGCTTAGGATGGGAGGCAGCCAAGAGTGCTGGGTTGGTTTTGTTTTGTTTTTTTAAGAAAATATATAACCGAACAAGTTGAAAAGTATGTTTTTTGCTCTTCTCTTGACCTGGCCTTTCCTGCTTGGAGAGGCCACAAAGCCAGCATGAGGAGGAGGCCACCTCCACCGGGGAGCGCTGTGTCAAAGGCCTTCCTGACATGTAGCGGAGGCACGGTCCCAGTGTGGCTCAGTGGGGAGGAGGTAAGGTGGGCACCCTCTTCCCGGGGCCCGGTGGTCCTAGGCTCCTAGTGGCTGAGCTGAGATCCTGTGGACACAGCATAGTGGACAATCTAGACTGCCTAGTTATAGTGGTTTTTCTTACACACCAAACACGCAACTTCATACCTGCACTCACAGAAACGAAGGTGACAGAACTTGCTTTTCCAAAATCTTGCTACCCTGCACATGACAGGGGCCTGAGATTGCCATTTTCACCTGGGGCTTGTTTGTCCCAGGGGCCTTGAGGTTTCTAGAACCCATCCAGTCTCTGTGCCTAGTTGTCACATGGAAGCCAGCACATGTGACTCCAGTGCCGTTTCCCTTGGCTGCTGAGCTGTCTGGGACGCAGGGAGCCTGCTGGCTCAGGCTGGTTTCTGGCAGATGTTGGAGTGAGGGCCTGGGCTCACGTACTGGCCCTGCTGCCCCTGCTGCCCATCTCCCTGAGGGGTGGTGGGCACGCGTCTTAGCTGAGCCTTAGTTCTCCTGTCTGAGCACAGGACCAGCTCTGGCCTGCCAAGTGCCATGTGGGTAGTGCCTGCACAAGGCAATGATCCATAATATGACGTGTGTGACGTGCATCACCCAACCCACCTGGGTATGAGACCAGGACACGGGATCCCCTTCTGTAGGCTCCTTTCCCCAGAAAAGACGGATGGGCTGTGTGCTCACAGGGTTTAGCAGGGACCCTTGCTCCCCACAGGCTGCAGTTTAGGAGAAATCTGCAATTGAGTAAAGCCAGAGCTTGGTTAGCTGAACTACAAAGAGGCTCCAGGGGCCTCTCTGGCAAAGCTTGGCGTTGCCACTCAAATGGGACCAAATGCACTTTTGGGCCTTAGTCACGCATGGTTTTTTGCATGCATTAGAAGCTGCAGTGTTCACATTCTGGGTAATTGTTTTTTTATTTTTTTATTTTTAGCCGGATCGAGGTTTCATTGGCATGCAATAAATGCATGTATTTAAATGTGAGCCTGTGCTGTCACGGTGTGGGACCTCCACCTGGGAGGTTCCCTGGGAAAGTTCTGGTGTCATACTCATGTGACTAGAGCAGCCCATGCCTGGCTATCTGCTCTCAACCCCAAATCCTCAATTCTCTCTTGGCTCCAGCTGGGAAGGGCGCCCTTGGGGCACAGGGCTTTAGCAATGACTTCTCTGTGCCTGGAGGCCTTTTCTAGAAAGGTCTATTATAGTATTGAGTAACCAGCAGGTGTCTGTGTGGGGTCAAGAGAATTGGTTTCTTCCAGGCAGATGCAAATCAGACCCTTCGAAACCTGTCAGTTGGAGTCAGTGCACACACCTCCCCAGGTAAACAGTGTGTATTTTCTGCAACGGGCAGAGATCGAGATCAGTCAGAACTCACCGCTGAAGTTTCTAGGTAAAAGTTGTTGATTTGCAAAGGGAGAAACAGATTTTTTTCAAGTGCAGGAAAGGGCTGTGTGGGTGTCAGTGATTGGGCCTCCCGCCCCGCGGCGGCAGATAGTGGGACGCTGTGCCCGGCCCCACCCTTGCCACTTCCTGCAAGTGCAGCCCTGCTTTGCGGTTCCTGCAGAGCCCGGGTAACACCAGCTAGTGCGCTTCACCACTAACCAGCCCGTCACCTTTAACCTCTCCACAATTTAATTGTCCTTTTATTACTGCTAATGACCTTTTCACCCTCCAAAAAAGCCAGTGCACACACTTACGAGGTCTTTTTGCCCCTTTTCCCTTCTCATAATCTTTTGGATGACCACAGACAAACGAGATACCATTTCGTCTGCATCCTGTGTGATTCAAAAGATTCTCAAAAAAATAAATAAATAAATAAATAAAATAAAAAGGGAAAATCCTTTTCCCCCTGGAACACGAGTCCCTCCTACAAACTGTGTGGATTCCAGGTTCGTTCTTTTGCAGTTTTCTGGTTGCCGCCCATCTTTGGGTTGGCAGGTGTGTGCTTGGCTCTCCCTGTGTCCTGAGAGGCCAGGCTGGGGCGAAACCATGGTGGTCGTCCTGCACCCACGTGGGTCCTGACCTCATGTTTATCACACAAGATCCACTTTTAAAATGGCTTCTCCAGTTGAGCCATGCGGTTAGCACCTCAGCCTTGAACTTAACTACTTTAATTCTGTTCCCACGATGATTTCAAAGAGATAATCGGTGGGTACATTGAGGTTCTAGAATGGCACAAGCAGTTCACCGCTCGCACGAGAAGCCTGGAAAATTTCACCACTGCCGGCCAGCCCTCGGAGCCGCCGGCCCTGCACACTGGCAGGGTCTGCCAGGCTGGGTGTGCCCCTGAGGAGGAGTGCTCGAGAGCTGGCGGGACTGACTTGCAGCAGAGGGAAAGTGCTTTCCTCTCAGCCTCTTACAAGTAAAATGCCTGGAGATGGGTTGTTTTTTGGGTGAATTTCTGTTCTGCAAAATTGGCTGAGTACAAAAATAGAAGCATTTGCCTATCTTAGCGCACACCTACCCTCCTGCACCCAGAAGGGCGGATTGAGTGGGAGTCAAGTGACACAGTTGTCACCTGTTGTTCAGTGCATTGCACATGCCCAGGCTTGGGGTCTTGAAGCACAGAAATCAGGCTCAGCTGGCTCAGCCAGCTGGGGTCCTGGAGGGTCGCGGTGTGGTGTACGGAGAGCCTGAACTCCCATCCTGTATCTGAGCATAGGTGCGAACAGACAGGAGACACTGCCCTGCCCCGGTGCCCTTCCCAACCCCTCTGGGACCTGTGTACCTGCCACCAGCCCTTGGGTTTTTGGCTCTACCTACAGCAAGGTGAGGGGGGCCTGGACGGTGCTCCCTGTGCTGCCTGCTTTTTTTTCTTCTTTTTTTTTTCTTTCTTCTTCTTTGATGGGGGTGAACATGGTTGTTCATTTCTTCTTGTTTTTCTCATATTCAAAGCACTGAGTCAAACCTCTGTGCCCTCCACCCCCCACCATTGTCAACCGAAAAGCAGCACATGTATGATTGATTGGGGGCAGGTGGTCATAAAAAGAATGAACGTGGGGGTCTCCCATTCTGCTGCAGGCTCTCCTGACTCCTGAGCCGCCCCCACAGCCAGAGAATGTTCTTGATGGGCTCTACACGTGGCCCTCTGGTGCACACACGCCTTCTAACCGCTCCAGACCCACAGCGTGGCCCCCGTGCTTTTCTTAAATGTGGGCATGACACCTCTGTGCCAGAGCAGAAGTGGCACTCACTCTGGCAGCATCAGCATTCCCCCGTAGGGAGGAACAAAGGCAGTGGCCCCTGTGGGTGTAGCTAGCGTCTCCCCAGTCCCCCCAGGCACCTGAGCCCCTGGAGGGTGCGGGCAGACCCGCAGAGTGTGTCAAATGTGCAAATCAAAGAACAAATGTGATTTTTAAAAAGCAGAACTGTGAGACCTGCAGTCTGTGTTGTTTTTTTTTTGTCGTGATGACCAAGTTGGGACTCATTTGTGAATCATACAGCTCCCCCTCCCTCCGTTTTGGCTGTAGATCTGATTTTTCCTCCCCCAGGTTTCTTATAAATGTCACAGTAGCCTTTCGTGGAAACCTTGAAACTTGTATTTCTCATTTCAAGAGGTATTTAACTTTGGAGGACCCAAAGTGGCTGCTTTCCCCCCTTTGTCTTCTGATTCTGGTTGACCCCATGTCCACTGGGCTCCTCACCCTGTGGGATTTCCATGACCTCTGACCTCCCAGACCCCTCCCAGAGGATGGAAACACACCAGTTGCAGGGAGCCCAGTGGTAATAGTAAATATTTGTTCAGCTTTTCTCAACAATTCAGAACCAGACCTCATCCTGTTCCCTTCAATGCATTAAGCACATTTTCTTAAAATTCGTAAATATTTTTAGTGGAAAATCTCAATGCTGTGATGGTGGGACCTCAGATTTTATCACGGGGCTGTGCTACTTGGCACAGCTTTGATCTGCACTCGCCTTCTCCTCGCGTGTGCAGCCGTGAGCGCAGGGCTGTTTCTGCAGGACTCCTCACCTGCAGGCTGGCCAGATGGTCCTGTGCATCCTGGTTTTCCACGGCCCATCGTCGTGGGAGCCAGAGCAGACATGGATACGTGCTGGTGAAAAGCAGTCTTTTTCTATAAAGTTCCCAAGCAATTTTGAACTTGCAGCATCGTGCTCTGAACAGCCTGGTTCTCTCTTTCTCCCTACTCCCCCCAATTCAACTTTGTTTTGCTGGTATGTGGGGGTGGGAAGGGAGAAGCCCCCTCCCCAGCCACAGCTCTCCTTGTGGTGTGACTCTTAAGAAGCCTGGTGGTTGTGTGGGTGTCCCTTGTTGTGTAGGATGAATGACAGTTGTGTGAGGATCCCCCTTAGGATGGGAGTCCCAGGTTGTGTGGGATGGGTGACAGTTGTGTGCTGTCCCAGGTTGTGTAGTGTGAGTGACAGTTGTGTGAGGATCCCCCGTAGGATGGGAGTCCCAGGTTGTGTGGGATGGGTGACAGTTGTGTGCTGTCCCATGCTGTGTAGTGTGATGATAGTTGTGTGGACAGTTGTGTGCTGTCCCACGCTGTTGGGATAAATGGCAGTTGTGAGAACGTCCTGTGTTGTGTAGGGTAATAGCTGAGGTGGGGCAGCTGTCCTGACCACAAACCTTTGTTTTTTATTTATTTTTTTATTTTCTGTTGTTTTTGTATTTATCTCTCATCTGCAGAACTGCATTTTTCCAACTATAGCCCTGAATTTTATAAATAGAACTCAGCAAGTGTCTGGTTGGAAAGGTTGGAATGAATACACACATTCACACGTATATTTTTGATATTTTATTTATCAGATGTGTTGAGATCCTAAATCATCCAAAACCTATCATTATCCTCCTAAGAATTTTGAATGAGAGAATCCGTCTTTCCGACTTCTCAGCGTTCATATTTTTTGAAGTTTGAGGGGCGGGGCAGAGTGTGTATTTGTGTTCTCTTGTTTTTCCATGCACCGGCTCTCAGGGACCCTTCCTGGCCAGGGTTTCCTGAAAAGCATGTTGGGAAAGCAGAACTGGGAGCTTCGTTGCCAATAACTCGTTCTGGAGTCACTGCCCCAATTCTGGCCACTTGGCCGATCCCAGCCCGGGGGCTCTCAGGCCTCAAGAAGTTTAGAAATAAGAGAATTGAAGACATTTCTACCAGGGTGGAGCCGGCCACCGAGCTTTTTTTTTTAACAGCACACACTGTGGTAAACCATCGGGTTCATATTGTTTTTGCTAAAGGCAGTCCTGTGTGCGGTTTCGGTGCACCGCTTGGGTAACTGTTGAAACTGCTGCGGTTTGAAATAAGCCCTATTTTGCCTTCTCTTCAATCTTGTGTCCTCCTCTTGTTCATGAAAACTACTCTGAGTGTTGGAGAATCGCCGTGGGTGCCAGGTTGGCAGCTGCAGCCCCCAGGGGTCTCCATTTCGTTTGACTTTGGTCACCACCGCCTTCTGCCACCCTCGGGGGCCGGTGGTCCCTGGCAGAAATCTAGGAAGATGCCACCTAACCGTGCGTGCCAGGCATCATCCTGGTTAGCGTTTGTACCAATTTTTGAAAGATTTTTTGTTTCTTCTCTGAAACATGCATCAGTCATGATCCTTTCTCGTGCTACCTGGAACCATAAAGAGGGATAAAACTGCAATGAGTTTGCTCAGGGACACGGAAGCAAATTAAAGTTATTCTGTCACGTTTGAGATAAACTACACCTCAGAAAATCGGAAAACGATTAAGGAATTAGCAGAAGTGGTTATGTAAAAGCAGGAACTAGACCCAGAATGTTTTAAAATGTAGCTGCTAAAAATAAACGGGGATGCAGAGAGAAGTTTGGGTTCAGGGCTGTCCCGGTGTGTGTCCCACTCAGAAAGCCTCTGGTCACAAGCAGAGTGTCAACCGAACTGGCAATACCCTTGGCTTTGCAAGTGTCATGCACAAGAATAATCCAGCCTTGTGCTGAAACACAAAAACAGATGACCGAGAAAAAACCGTTGTGTTTTCCCCCCTCTGAAAACAAGAGCAGTTGATGTGCCCTGGTTTCATATGAACACAGTCATGATTTCTAAATAACAACGGTTTCGGCACCAGCCAAACCAGGCGTGAGCAATTCTTGATGTGAACGATGCTTTTCATCTCCCCATCATCTCCGCTTGTCAGAAACCTCAGCTTCAAATCCCAGCAGGCTGGATTCTTACCACACCCCGAAAAGCAATGAAAAAAAACACACACCCTGCAACAAAAAACAAACCGGGGGAGGAAGTTCTTAATTAAAAAGAAGAAAAATACAGTAGCGGGTGATGTACTTAAACACCCGACCCCTGGCTGAGATCAGCTTGACCTCTTTCTCCTGCTTAGACATCTGTCCTTTGTGACCAGCCAGACCTTGCAAGGAATGCCCCCAGTTAGGCACCACGCCGGACCTGCTGCTGGAACCAGAGTCTGTGCCCTTCCCTGGGGCTCAGCCCGTCTCCAGCAGCTCTGACTCTCCCTGGTTAGGTTTCTGCTGTTTGGTCCATCATCATGTTAGTTTTTGGTTAAAAAAAAAAAAAAAAAAATTTAGCCCACAAGTGCCCCAGTGACTATTGCTTTCTTGCAGAGGAGGGAAGCTAGAGGTCCTTAGTCCCTCCTAGCTTCTCAGAGTGGTTCCCCCAAAGGTCTTGAGTCCTGGCTCACATGTATCCCTGGCTAGAACCGGGATAGGGTGGGATTTATTGGCTCCTATGGTATGCTGAGCTCCACCACCCACATGGAAATGACCCTCGGGGACCCGCAGGTGTGCTCGAGGCTAGACCAGGACAGAAGTCAGTGCCATGGGAGGTGGCCAAGGCAGTGGGGGTGGCTGCAGGGGAGGAGTGGCTAAGGGAGGTGCCAGGGGAGGGGGAGGTGTGAGAGACTAGCCGGGCTGGGCAGTGCAGGGCAGCCTGGGCAGTGGAAATGGCTGTGGAAAGATCAGGGGTAGCCAGGCCAGGAGGTCAGCATTGTTCTCTGGACGCTGTCTCCCAGGGCACCCTAGCCCATGGGTGTGGTGTCCTCACACTGGCACGGTGTACACACGAGAGCTGGTCTCCCTGGGCCCAGAAGTGGCTGCACGTGCTCCAGGACACACACACACCCTCCCAGTGCGCTTTGTGTGAGCACGTGTGTGTCTGTGATCAAGCCTCAGATGGTGCCACCGCCTGGGCTCTCCCAGGGCAACTCTTCGGGCCTTTGAACCAGCCACCCCAAAGGGGATCTGCCCTGGAGGCTTCCCCTGCCATCCTCACACATGGTGCTCCTCAGTGGGAGTGGTTGCAGAGGGCAGGAGGAGACTGGATGGGAGCTGGACAGGAAATTGCAGACATTGGGGGAGGTACCCACCGTATCTGAGCACCTCTGGCAGAGCAGAGCTGCAGTTGGAGTCCTCCGTTTCCTTTTGGGGTTCGAAGGGTACCAGGTGGCCTGGCTCTGACTTCCGGGGGCCTGGAGCATCCCTCAGTCTCACATATGGCTTGCTTACTGCCTGCCAGGCCTCAGAGCTAACACCCTATCCATGCAAGGGGATGCTGTTTTCTTGTAAAAGGCTGTAACCAATATATTTTTAGCCTTGCAGGCTTTACGTTCTCCATCCCAGGTGGCCAACTCTGTTGTCCTGGATGAAGGCAGCATAGAAGACCGTGAACAAACGCACAGCTTATTGGCATGCGCGTGCCATTAAATTGTGACTTACCAAGGCAGGGGGACCCCTGTGGGCAGGTCCTGCTCTCAGCTGCTGCTCAGTCACTGGGCAGACCTCCTTGCCCCGTCTGCTGGGGCTGCTATGACCGGGTGGCTTACACTGCAGACATTTATTGTTCTCGGTTCTGGAGGCTGGAAGTATGACAGCGAGGTTCAGCAGTGTTGGTTTCTCCTGCCTCCCTGAGTCCTCAGAGGTCTACCCCTGAGTCTGTCCTGTCCTCTTCTTACAAGGACACCATTCAGCACAGGGCCCATGCAGTGACCTCATTTTTCCTGAATTACCTCTTTACAGACCTTTCCAAATACAGTCACATTCTGAGGTCCTGGGGCTGAGGATCTCAGCACGAGTTGTGTGGGTGAGGGGCGGGCACAGTTCATCCCACAGCAAGCCCATTTCATGGACTCTGTTCTGTCCGTGGTCAGTAACTTGTATTTCTTTTTTCTCTTCCTTTTTTTTTTCTTTTTTTTTTTTTTTCTGTCTCCTGAACTTTCCAGGTAAAAGTACACCTGTAAGCCAGCTCGGTTCTGCAGACTTTCCCGACTCCCCCGATCCATTCCAGCCGCTCGGGGCTGACAGCAGTGACCCGTTCCAAAATAAGAGGGGGTTTGGGGACCCGTTTAGTGGAAAAGATCCATTTGCTCCCTCCTCTTCAGCTAAGCCTTCTAAAGCCTCCTCCCTGGGCTTTGCAGACTTCACCTCTGTAAGTTGAGTTCTTCGCCTCCGTTCCACTCCCTCCCCTCCGCTTGCAGCTTCTTTGGGGCTTTTTTTTTTTTTTTTTTTTTTTTTTTTTTGGCTTACGTTTCCTGGTACCTCATGCCACCAGCTGTGTTATTTATTCTGTACTGCTGCTTTCTGTAAGAAAAAAAAATGTTTCTCAATAAAGAAAAGTGCTATGGTTTGGATACTCTGTGATGAGGGCACATGTCATTCCAGCATGGTGGCCCACGCTGGTGGCCGCACCTGCCCGTCTCTGTCTTTCCCTGGCCTGGTCGACTGTCTTGTTTCTCTCGCCCGGAGGCTGTTGTGCTCATTGACTTTTGGAAGCTGAGATGTCAGACACCTCTGAAGTATCAAAGCAAGATTGCAAAAGTTACATTAGGATCTCACTGTCCCCAGAAGGTCTCTGCAAGAATTCTAACTGTCCCTCCTCAGCGCACTTTGTGCAGCAAGTGCGAAGTGAGGGACCCAGGCGGGTACACGAAGGAAGAGCAGTTTGGTTTGTTTGAAGCTTTAATTTCAGTTACCAGCTCTGATGAAAAGAGGAATCCAGCCTAGAACCACCACTCTGAAGCCCTTCTGCCAAAACAAAACAAAACAAAACAAAACAAAACACCCCAACCCCAACCCTCCAAAAGCTATTTAAGCAAATTCAAGTGCCTTTTCAGAAGTCTGGCTATTTCTTGGTATGAGAGAGATTCCCAGATTATAAATGCTGTCACTTTTGGTGTTTTTGGCACCATCATCAGTACCCAAAGATCTTGTTCTCACAGAGATTCGGTTTGTCTTCCCAGAATTGGTTTTACTGTCTGTTGTTTTCTTTCTTTTTTTAAGTTTTCTTCGTTCAAATTTGCCAAGTATCTTGTTTTCTGGCTAGGTGTGACATGCATTATTTATAGATGCTTTGACTCCTAGAATATCCTTCTTAAAACAACCTCTGCCATCTATACCCGTGCCCCATGAACGCCCGATTCATTTCAGATCCACCTCGTGCCCAACTATCTTGTGGTTTATCGAAGCCGCCCAGTGCGACGCTATGTTCCTGGCTCTTGGTGACCTGTAAATGTTTTACAGCTGCAGTCAGCTCAGTGTTGTTGACAGCCTGTGCACACTGTGGATGTGTACAAATGGAGACCTTGTTAATAAAAGCCAGAAACAAAACCTGCTTTATCTACAGTTTTTTTTTTTTAATAGGACCACGTTTGTTTTTCAGTGGAAAAAATATTAAATGCTGATGAAAAAAATAGAGCCATTCATGCATGACTCAGGTGCTCTGTTTTGGGCAGGGCAGAGGGAAAAGTGCATTCGAATGGCAATTTGAAGAAATGACTGTTCTCTTTCTGAAACGCATAAGACTGTTTCCTGTGGACCCTGCACCCTCCCGATGGCTGGGTTTTGGAAAACATTAAAAGAAATACCAAGGTTTTAAATTATCATCTGGCTCAACACTTCTGGTCATTCCAGAACGCTTGTTAACTTTGATTTTTAAATACTCCCGATACTTAATCGCCCTCATTTCCAGGTGGGGTATCTGATTCTGCCCAGTGGAGTGTGCAGCTGTTTTCTGTTTAAAACACCTTTCCTGCTTCGGATGCCCCAGGTTTTCCAGAGGAAGTCTGGAAATCAGTGAGATTCTGTCCCTCTGATGGGATGGCTGGAGGACAGACAGGAATCTTACTGGTTTGGCTTGTTCCCCTTGGTGATACCATAGTCCAAAAATGTTAATACCTGTCCCCCTCTGGGAAATCAGGATATTTTTGCATTTTCCTGGCGTGGGGGTTCAGCCCATTAGCCTGTGGTTTCAGGGTACACTGGGCCTGGATTTGTGCTAACTCAAAGAGGCCAGAGTGGGTTTCTCCGGTGTATTTTAGCTCCCCAGTAAAAACGGGACTTTCACTGCCCAGCAGACTGGCAGTGTGACTCTCAGATCCGATGTTCTGAGTGCCGCCAAGACATGGTGTTACCTGTGCAAAGGTAGCTTGGTCCGTGTTGGAGTTCAGGCACTAATGTCATACACGTGTGTGGCCCCCCTTTGGCACCCCAGCTCTGTCACCTAGAATAAGGTGACCAGATGTCCCGCTTTTCAACAATTTGTCCCGCTTCCTGTGCATTTTTAAAAAGTCTTGATTTTTTGAAAGATTCTCAGGACTTTTTAAAAACGCCACGGGATTTGGGACAAATTGTTAAAAAAAAAAAATTGGGACGTCTGGTCACCTTAACCTGAACCCTCTAATTTACGAGTCCCAAGTTTTCATCAGTGGGTCCTTTCCGAGATTTCTTTAGAAACCAGCCTTTCTGTCTCTTGCGAACGTATTTATTAGGCAGTAACGTTTATAGGTTAGCAAAACGGCACCTTTTCCGGAAGTCTGCATTGAGAGCAGAGCAAATGTCAGATGGGCAAAGTTGGCGCCGTGGAGTGAGTTGGATGCAATTTCAACATCAGAATAAAGTGAGTTAATGGAGGAGCTAGCAGTGTCCCTCGGGTGATGAGTGGCAGTGCTGTTAGATGTCTCAGGATGCGGATGTTGGTGCCCATGGAGGAATGGCAC